ACATATCTCTTTTAAACAGTTTTCTCCCTCCTCTGTTTCAGTGCAGTATACATTATTGAACCCATCTTACTCAGTCTCTCCGCAGCCCCAAGGTCAGTCCCGTTCTACAACAGTGGCACCATGCAATATTTGTCCTTTTGTGACTGGGATATTTCACTCCCTGCCCAGTTCTCTCCCCCTAGTTCACTCTTCTCTTTGAAAAGTAAAAGAAAAATTCTTCCATTGTTACCCAGTCCCTCCCCTCAAGTCCACTCCACTATGTAGCCTTCGTTCTGGACTCCTGTCATGACAATAATATCTAATCATATATCCCTTTTAAACAGTTCTCTCCCTCATCTGTTTCAACGCAGTATACATTAGTGAACCCATCTTTCTCAGTGTCCCCCTAACCCTGATGTCAGTCCTGTTTTACAACAGTGGCACTATGCAGCATTTGTCCTTTTGTGACTGAGATCTTTCCCTCAGCATAGTGTCCTCCAGGGTCACCCATTTTGAATAATATTGCATGAGTTCCTTGTTTTTCAAGGCAGCGTAGTATTCCATTGTGTGAATATACCACAGCTTCTCTGTCCATTCGTTTGTTGATGGGCACTTAGGTTGTTTCCAACTCTTTGCTGTTGTGAACAACGCCGCGATAAATGTGGGTGTGCATAAGCAGCTGAATTCTTAGCCCACAGAGCCACCAGGGACGCTCATGACCCTTTCAAACAACAACACAAGCAGCTCCACTGAACACTGAGTTAGTTCGAGCTCCTGGTTACTCTGCAGTAGGTTTTCGAGGCTGTGACTCTTTGAAGGAAGGCACAGTCCCATCATTCTTCCTTGGAGCATCTGGCGTAATTTGAACCATTGACTTTTGGCTCCACTATCAGAGCTTCTGACTCTAACACGCACTCGCTTTTATGCAGGGAGAATCTGCCTGTAGTGGACCCTCCGTTGGGACTTTGCTGCTGTTGTTTTTAAATGGCCTTGAGCAAGCAACCAATGCTGGCAAGACTGTGGAGAAACTGGAACCCTTAATTCACTGTTGGAGGGAGTGTAAAATGGTGCAACCACTGTGGAAGGCAGTATGGCACTTTCTCAAAAAGTTGCAAATAGAGATACCATTTGACCCATCAATTCCACTACTGGGAATATACCCCAAAGAGACTATAACCACCACCCAAGCAGACATATGCACACCATGTTTATTGTGGCTTTGTTCACAATAGCAAGGGGTTGGAAACAACCTAAGTGCCCACCAACAAAGAAATGGATAGAGAAGCTGTGATATACTCACACAATGGAATACTATGCTGCATTGAAAAACAAGGAACTCATTCAATATTATTCAAAATGGGTGACCCTGGAGGACATTACGCTGAGTGAAGTATCTCCATCACAAAAGGACAAATACTGCATGGTGCCACTGTTGTAAAACAGGACTGACATCGGGGTTGGGGGGAGACTGAGAAAGGTGGGCTCAATAATGTATACTGCATTGAAACACACGAGGGAGAGAACTGTTTAAAAGGAATATGTGATTAGGTATTATTGTCATGACAGGAGTCCAGAACAAAGGCTGCATGGTGGAGTGGACCTGGGGGAGGGTTAGTAAAATGATGAAAGAATTTTTGGTTTACTTTTCCAAGAGGGTAGTGTACTAGGTGGGGGGGGGTTGGGGGGGGAAGTGCAACAATGAATGAATGGAAATCCAAAGTCTCTGTACATTTTTACTGAAATTAATAATAAATTTAAAAAAAGAAAAAAAGATGTGTAGACAAAAAATGGCCTTGAGTACTCAGCTCAGTGACTCTATGCACAACACAGCACTGAACCCTGTCCTGTGCTGTGCCATCCTCATCCTCATCATTTATGGTGCCCTTGATCCCACTGCTGCAATCACTGTGTCAACCTATCTGGCTGAGGATGGGTTGAGGTCTCTTTCATAGACCCTCCACTTCTCCAAGCTTGATGTCCTCTTCCAAGGAATTGCCTCATCTAGCAACACGCCCACAGTATGTGAGACAAAGCTTTATCTGGCGCCTCTAAGGAACCATCTGATTACGCTTTGTCTAAGACCTATGTGCCTGTTCTTTTGGCCGTCCGTGGACTATTCAGGACTCTATTGCAACAACACAGCTCAAAGGCATCGATTCCTCTTCACTCAGTTCTATTCATTTTCAGGCTCTCAGAGGCATAGCTGTTGCCTGGAAAGACCATGGCTTGAATCAGGAACACCTTAGTCTTTAAAATAATATCATTGCTCTTCAGGAATTTGGAGAGATCCCTGATAGTAGACTTTCCCAATGCTAAATATCTGCTGATCTCCTGATTGCTGATACCAAGGATTGTGATTGTGGATCCCAGTAAGACAAAAATCACTGACAATATCAGTCTATCATGATGATGCCTACTGGCCCCAAGACAAGGCTGGAATTAGGCACCACCTTTAGTTTGACAGCCCAGAAACTTCCCCAAGCGGTCCCCATGGTCAGTCTCTCCCCTTATTATTAACTTTGGAAGTTTCCCCCCACATGTGGGCACAGGGAGCTCTTAGGACCCCGCGGCCCTGCTGATGGCTGGGTTTCTGTCCTGGATTTGCCCAAGGGATAGACTAGCAGACGCTCAGGTGAAGGACTGGTGATTTCTCCTCAGGAGCCAGCCAACAGGCTTCTCATTTATCCAATAGACTCACGAATGTGATTCACCTGGTTCACACCTTCCAACACGCACCCTATGTCTACCCTCTGGCTTGAACTCCCATCCCTTCCTAATCAAGACCCTTGGGTGTTTGGAGGTAGAGGAGAAAAGGATTTAGAAGACGCAGGCTTCTAGGATCCTCCTGGGTTGTTCAGCCAAAGATGGGGCGTGGATAGAGGAGGGGAGCAAAAAGTGGGGAGCAAGGAGCAGGTTGCCTTGTGTTGAGAAGGTGTCATGCCCAGTATTGCTCAGCAGGTAGGACCTTTTCCTAGAAAGAGTCTAATGGTTTCCATTCACCTCGTTGTGCTGCTTCAGCGCTGGATGGAGAACTGAGGCTGTCTTCTTGGGCCCTGTTGTTCCCTCAGACAGTGAAGCCAGTTGTCACCGTGTCCACTCTTCTCCAACCCGTGCTGTCCCCTCGTGTGTCAGTGACACTGTCCTCCGTGAGGTTTCCGGTGGCGGCATTCGCGCCAGGCCTTTGTTCCCAGGCGCTTCTGGGTAGACCGGCACCCTTGACCTCAGATAGCCAACACCTGATGGTTGCCTTGCCCAGGGCTACTGGGTAATAAAAGGATGAATTGATGCTGGATAGTCCTGTAGGCTGCAGAGCTGAAGGGGAAGGTTTCACATCCGGAGAGCGGGGCTCGTAGGGCACCCGGCACAGAAGCATAGTGTTAAAATCCTGAAAAAATCATAATCCCAAGAAAAAAGAACAAGAGGGCAGATGGAGAGGTGCAATAATTTCCAGAGTGAGTCCTGGGCGGGGCAGGGTTTTGTAGGGTGTGGATCAAAGAGTGTGGGGTGGGGGGTGGGGCAGTGAGTCATTTCTTCTCTTTTGCCAACAACCCTCCACCTTTCTATGTTATTGCGTGTCTCATCCAGTTAGAACCAACCCCGAGCTGACCCTTCAGTAGACTTCCAGAGTCAGAAATTGCCCATTGTTAAATAGCCCTTAATGAAATCATGCCCATTTCAGAGATGTGGAGAATGAGGTGAAAAGAGGTGGAGGCTGGAAGATGGAAGCCAAGGCTGCACATCAGACCCAGTTTCAGGCAGGCCCCTGGGGTGTTTGTCTGACTCAGTGTCCTCTTCTGCAGCCCTTGAGGCATCCAGCCCCACCCAGCGGAAATGCACCTTTACCAAGGAGCAGCAACAGCAGCTGGAAGAGTTCTATCAGAAGAAGTTCCCAGACCCCCCTGATTTGGTGCTTCTGAATGAAAGACTCGGTCTCAACAAAAACCAAATTAAGGTCTTAACTGGACAGCCCCCGCCCCTAGTCTTAATGGTCATTGGGAGGAACACAGCAAAAGGGGGGCCCAAAGCCGCAATGTTTATGGTTTCTTTGGGGTGTATTCCCAGTAGTGGAATTGCTGGGTCAAATGGTATTTCTATTTGATAAAGCACCATACTGTCTTCCATAGTGGCTGCACTGTTTTATACTCCCACCAACAGTGAATAAGAGTTCCAGTTTCTTGTGGCAATGAAGGAGTGAATGCCCAGAATCCCTGTGAGTGTTCATTGAAACTAATAAAATTTAATAATAATAAAAAAAAGAAAGAGTTCCAGTTTCTCTACAATCTTGCTAGCATTTGTTGTTTTCTGCTCTGTTAAATTTTGCTATTCTTACTGGGGTGAGATGGTATCTCATAGTTGTTAAGAACAAATTCTTTCAATTTCCCTGATGCCCCCACCCATAAAATTATATGATCAGGTCTCCGGGCATTTGAATTGCGCTTCCGCCATCTTTCCATCCCTCAGTCAGACGGGGCCCAGAGACGCTTCTGGAAGAACCATCACGATGGCCGCCCAAGGAGAACCCCAAGTCCAGTTCAAACTCGTGTTGGTGGGTGATGGTGGTACTGGCAAAACGACGTTCGTGAAACGTCACCTGACTGGTGAATT